TGTCTCTCGCTGCCGCCGTTAGCTTTCACAACTAAAGTGGCTTCCTTCCCAGCCCTAAAAACTGCTGCTGTCTTCCAGCATTCACGGGATGGGACAATAAGAGTCTTATTCTGGAGATCAAGTGATCTTTCCCATCCCCCCCCCTTTCTTGGGAAGTGGCAAGGAGAAGACATTTCCCTTGGGAATCCAGGAGAATCCATCAAAGTTTCAGGGAATCACTCATCGCGGTGGTTGAGTTGAGTTAGCAATAGCAATGGCGCTTAGACTTATATACCGCTTCGAAGTGCATTACAGCCCTCTCTAAGTGCTTTACAGGGTCAGCCTCTTGCCCCCCACCCCCTCTTTCCCAACAATCTGGGTCCTCATTTGACCCACCTCGGAAGGAGGGAAGGCTGAGTCAACCTTGAGCCTGGTGAGATTCGAACTGCCAAATTGCAGGCAGCCGGCAGCCGGCAGAAGCAGCCTGCAGTACCGCATTCTAACCACTGCGGAGAATGAAGGAAGGCCTGATGTCTTCGAAATTCATCAGCAGCTTTCAAAGAGAAAGAAAAGCAACAGGAAACGAGAGGAATTTGGGGCAGGAACAACAGAAGAGTCTTTGTTAGAAGGGAAAGCAAAGAAGGACGTGTTTCCCCAGGAATTCGGTCCCCGGGATCTCCATCCAGTGAGGAAGCCATCGCGCGAAGTCCGAACTTCACTTGCAGGATACACCAAGCAGCCAAGAGATTCTGACATATCTCCGTATTGGCTAGAGGCCAATATTTGAGGCTGGGAAAACGGCAAGCTTTTCATGCCACAAGAGAACAGCTGCCTATCAAATCACAGCTGCCTATCAAATCACCAGGGCATCTAGAACTAAATGCAAACAATGAGCAGATATTATTATTTTTTGAACGCCGTAGCAGTGGGAAGCTTGAGTGGCGCGGTGGCCTGGAGGTGCCGCTCTCGCCTCGCAATCGGGAGGCTGTGAGTTCAATCCTAAGTAGAGGCAGATATTTTCTCTCTCTGGGCTCTCACCATGAGAATACCTCTGCTGAACAAAAACTCCGCATCGGCAACAGGAACAGCGTCCGGCCAGCAAACACTCCGCTCCGTTCGGTGGCCCAGTCGCCACCCCGCGAGGGATGATGGGGTTGTTATAAAAGAAAGTGATGATAGCCGCGGGAAGCTTGAAAACGGCACAGCCCAAATGAAGAACACGGTGTGCCTCCCTGCTCTTGAACCCACATCAAGCTGGACTTTCCGCCCATAAGCCAGAGCGGCTTTTAACATTCAAAGCCCAAATGAGGCATGTCCAGTTTTGCAGGAACGATGCCTTCCTCGCTCATCAAGAAAAGCACGAACCCCTTCGGAAGGACCATGGGTGGTCTGGAAAGGAGCTATCCTTTGGTGCTTGACCCAACTGGAGAGCTCCATTTGGTGTTGAGGATAACTCTTTCCATCTCCATCTCCTGCTGCAACTTCTACAGAACATTTTTGGGGGCAACTCACCCAGGGGAGTGAATAGGTCACCCTGGGCATTGCCAAGTTGCTTCTTCAGATCTGGCTGAGGACTGTACTGAACGAGGACATTAGATTCATATGGCTTCACTCAAAAGAACCCAATATTTTAAAAAATAAGAACACCCGGAGAGCCGTGGAGCAAAATAGGAAGCCCACATGTCTCTTTCTGAAGTTGATGGCCATACCTTGCGATTTCTTGAAGGACCAAGCATTTTGAGGAGTCCCATCTAGGCACGGACCATGTGGTATAGACAGAAGAACCTTAAATCATGAACGGATGAGCGTCCAACATTGGACTCTTGGAAAAAAACAAACGTGGGATTTTTAATGGCCACCGGCTTAAGACTCACCTCTGGTTTTGAGAGCTGGACCGATGACCTCTATATTCTTTGCGGTCCCTTTAAAATCATCCGTTGAGCCATTGGGATCTTTGGCAAGGTGTACAATTCACCTAAGGTCATTAAGGAGGGACGCAGTGGTGGCGAGGATGTGGAGCTTGCCGATCAGAAATGTCGGCAGTTCGGCAGTTCGAATCCCTAGCGCAGCGTAACAGAGTGAGCTCCCGTGATTTGTTCCAGCTTCTGGCAACCTAGCAGTTCGAGAGCATGTAAAAAATGCAAGTAGNGTATTGCGCTCTTAACCACTGTGCCACTGCGGCTGGGTGGATGGATTGGTATTTGCCACGGCTCTTCAGGAGCCGCTTCCTCCTCTTTGAATGTATTTATTTGTAATGGCCAAACTCCTTCTTTCTTCCGCCATTCCTTTCCCTCTCAGGTCCACGCCCACATCATCAGCCACCTCAAGAGGGAGATGCCCTCCGTCTTTGGCAAGGACAACAAGAAGAAGCAGCTGATCAACAAACTGCCCGTCATCTTTGCCAAGATCCAGCTGGAGCATCACATTTCACCTGGGGATTTCCCCGACTGCGACAAAATGCAGGTGAGGGGTGAGGGGCATCTTAACGAGCAACAGACGAGCCAAGTTGGAAAGGACCTTTGGAGGTCTTCTAGTCCAACCTCCTGCTCACGAAGGGGAGCCTACACTATTTTGGATAAATGGCTGCCCAGCCTCTTCTTAAAAAAGCCTCCAGTGATGGAGGAGGGCCCACAGCTTGTTGGAAGTATGACGTTCCGATGATCGATCGATCAGGGATGATAGAATAAACAGAGTTGGAAGGGACCTCGGAGGTCTTCTATTCCAGCCCTTGTTTGAACGGGAGATCCTATACCGCTCGGGAAAAATGGTTGAGATGTCTTCCCGAAGACCTCTAGTGATGGAGGCAACCCACAAGTTCTGGAGGCAAGTTGTTCCACTGGTTAATTGTCCTCACTGTTAAGAAATTTCTCTTAGTTCCAGGTTGCTTCTGTCCTTGGTTAGTTTCCATCCGTTGCTTCCTGCCCTGCCTTGCGTTGCTTTGGAGAATAGGTTGACCCCACTCTTCTTTGTGGCAGCCCCCCAAATATTGGAAGACTGCCATTAGGTCACCCCTAGTCCTTATTTTCATTAGCAATAGCAGTTAAACTTATATACCGCTTCATAGGGCTTTCAGCCCTCTCTAAGCGGTTTACAGAGTCAGCATATCGCCCCCAACAACAATCCNCCCATCTTAAAATTGCATGAAAACTAGGGAATTCTGGGAGTTGAAGTCTAATCATCTTAAAGTTGCATGATGACTGTGGAATTCTGGGCATTGAAATCCACCCATCTTAAAATTGCATGAAAACTAGGGAATCCTGGGAGTTGGAGTCCACCCATCTTAAAGTTGAATGATAACTGGAGAATTCTGGGACTTGAAGTCTAATCATCTTAAAGTTGCATGCTGGTTAGGGAATTCTAGGAATTGAAGCCAACACCTCTTAAGTTGCATGATCACTGGGGAATCCTGGGAGTTGAAGTTCCACCCATCTGAAACTTAAAACGTGCGTGATGATGGCTGGGGAATTCTGGGAGTTGAAGTCTACATCTCTTGAAGTTGTCAGGTTTGAAAAACAGTGGGATAGACCCACCTCCCCCTGCCATTCTCCAGCTCTTAGTCTCTCCCGCTCTGTGTGAGATGCTTGTTCCGAGCAAGTGAACCACATCAAAGCTGGTTCATCTCGTTTGCTGAACGGGCGGATAGTTTTGTGCTTCCTTCATAACAATGATAACATTCAAGACCAATTTTGCAGGCGTGTTTCAAATCAGCCACAAGACTAATTGTGCTCAAAATGCAGATGCTTAACTCAATTAAACGTTGTGTAACTGCAAACTGGAATGAAATGGACTGGAGGCTCCATCCATTCAGCGATTAATTTTGAAAGGATCCAATTTTAATGCTTCTCGTGGTGAGAGAGGGAGGGAGGGGTGTTTCAACAGAAAGCCACATCAAAGGATAGGGGATCCTGGAGAAAGAAATCTCCAAGTCACCCTACTTGGTGTAACTTTGCATTTCACAGAATAACAGATTTGCAAGGGACCTTTGGAGGTCTTCTAGTCCAACCCCCTGCTCGAGCAGGAGACCCTGCACCATTCCAGACAGAAGGCAGTCCAGTCTCTTCTTAAAAACCTCCAGTGATGGAGCACCCAACAGCTCTTAGAAGCAACTTCTGTTCCACTGGTTGATTGTTCTAAACATCAGGAAATTTCTCCTTAGTTCTCGGTTGCTTCTCTCCTTGATTAGTTTCCATCCATTGCTTCCTGTCGGCACATTGCCCCCAACAATCTGGATCCTCGTTTTCCCCACCTCAGGTGGACGGAAGGCTGAGTCAACCTTAGGCTTAGTGGGATTCAAACTGCCAAATTGCAGTCAGCTGGCAATCAGCAGAAGTAGCCAGCAATAACACAGGGGAGATAGATAGATAGATAGATAGATAGATAGATAGATAGATAGATAGATAGATAGATAGAT